CACTGAAATGATAGATGAAGAACTCGCAGAAGAAAAATATGATTACATTAAAATTTATACTTATAAATATAAATTTACAATAAGCTATTTTGCTAAATTTGCCAGCTAATTTTGCTAACAACGTCCGGGGTCTCTGGTACATACGTACAGTACGTGCGATTTTATTAAGTCTCTAAATAAAATTGGGTTTAACTCATCATGATTGAAAGGTGGCATCATCTTTTCAAGTGAAGAATAAGCAAACATGATCATGCCGACCAATCGGGTAGTAGACTCATCATTTCTTTTCCTCACTAAGCCATACAGTACACTGCTGCACTGATTTTCATCACTCTACATTTCAAGATGCATGTGATCCGGCCAATACAAACGTGTTTTAGTGATGCATTGTGTATAAATTGTTCTATTTTTTATGCCCTTGAATGCACTCAGAGTTTCATTCCACAAAAGGGTTATAAAAAAGATTTTTGAGCACACAAGAGAAAAAGAAAAAATTTCAAAGTAGTACGAGATAACGGAGAGCAGCACAATATGTAATGGAATCGAAAGGAAAAGTATCACATGATCTCCCGTTTAAAAATATTACGTATTATATGCGATATGAACACATGGGGTATCGGCTAAAATAAGGGGTACGGGCGTGGGAGGATCAATTCAAATAAGGATAAAACATAAAGAGAATATTCTTGGCATAACGAATCAAGTAATGAAGGCGTCGGTACGTATGAATATACTGTAATAATAAAAATAATGATAAGAAATGGATACATGAAAGTGGTTGAAAAATCCCACGATCCACTCAATCAACTTCAAAATGGAATACACGCGATTATGTCATTTCATTTATGGTCCTTGCTTAAGCAGGCAGAAACTACCAACTATTCCTAATATGATTCCTAGTGCAATCACGATTACTAATTTCGCCGAATGTTATTGCCATTTGATCAACATGTATTTGTTGTACCTTCTAACTGGAGATAAGAAATTGATGGATGTCCAGATATCCGATTTATTTGTTTATAATTTCATCTAATAAACAGGGGAATATTGATATCCGGATCCTATCTCTACTTCCAAAAATGAAAAAAAGGAACTTCGTGTAACACGGACGTCAATGTAAGGATTTGCAATTTGGAGCCTATCAAATAATGAATTACAAAAACGTGTATATTAATGTACAAATCTAAACGCGTATGCGAACATGATGCATTAAGAAACTTTTGTACCACTTTCAAATAAATATTAAACTATCCTTATGCGTCTTTCCTTTCTACTCAGAACAATTATTACATCGCATACTAACGTGGAATATTTTATATTTAATAATCTTTGGTAAAAAATAAAAAATAAAAAAAAATAAAAAAATTCAATCTGAAAGTAATGAAATTTGGTAAAAAAAATTTTCAAAATCAAATACCGGAGTGGATCGGGTAAGAAATTTAGAGCATTTTACGTAATTTTATGTTATATATATATATATATATATATATATTTATACAGTAATTGCTATTTACTATATAATTTCTTGTAAATAGATATTACATATCCTATAAGCATTTGAAAAGGATAATAAGTAATGCCTTAAAAAAATTGCAATCAAATCAGGGGTACGATGATTGTATAACAGGTAAGATTGTAACATATCGCTGAACACGAATTTCATATTTTAACACTAATCATTTATTATTATCATTAATAAAGAATTTTTTTCGATTCTTGACTACGAACTCGGAAAAACCAATGCTTTCTTTACAATTCAGAGCTCCAAAATGGAGCAAATATTTAAGGAATTATCTGAAAAATATCAATACTTTCATAATAATGCGTTGACTGGGATCGATCATAATAACATTAATTTGAATTTTGATCAAGATGCTTGTTACGAGTTTTTTTTGGATTTGGTAGAAACAAAGGACAAAATAAATAATCTACTACGCTTTGCTGCTTTGAACATAAAAGCAGTAAATAAAATATTAAAAAAGTAATAATGATTCTATATATTTTATTTTATTTTATTTTATTTTATTTTATTTTTTGTGATTTATAATGTTTTTAATCTTCACCTTCATATAAAAGATTTGATAAGAAGCTAAAACAAGAGAGAAAAAATAGTTATTTGGAGACAAAGGTTTGTGGTCCAAAATAATATTTACATGGGAAATTATAAATATGCATAATTTATTATGCAAACTGTTAGTGTAAGAGATCGCACTATCTTATGTATGATGATATGTTATGTAGTAGAATATTTTTCTTTTCAAATCAAACTAATATAGATTTTTAAATTAGGTCAATGGTCTTCCACTTGCTTCGTGTTCAGCATTGATCGAAAATTTGGAATCAATTGAGCAATGGATTCGGGAGGTGCACCGCAAGGTTGCAAATGAGAATGTCAATCATAATAGTCATATATCAAGTCCAAACCATAGTTTGAATAATACAGCTTTGTTAAGTGCGATTAGAAATGATGATACGAGTACTTTTCATAATTTGATAGATGAAATGGTATCAGATATCAAAACAGAAAATGAGGATGAAGTTTCTGAAAACAGAATGATCAATCAAGCTAATCCTGCTGTTCAAAAGGTATTTCATTGTACTATATATATATATATAAATATATATATATTGAATAGTCTTTAATTCTTTATTAATTTTTGCTATGATTTCAGGTTTTAATATCAATGCTTTATAAAGCGTGTTATTACAAAGCCATGAATTGTATTAAGCTACTAATCGTGTCAGGTGTAAATATTCTTGAAGAAAAAGACATTAACAAACGTTCACTGATACATAAGTTAGTAATTAATGGTGGTATTTTACCCACAACATCGCCTGCTTCTTCCCCTACTTTAGACAATTCATTTTCATCAGATGATCCAAGAATCATTTCCTGTATTCTTGAGCATCTCCCTAAACACACTCAGGCTTTCTCTGTAGATATTTATGGTAAAAATCCTTTGCACTATGCTGCAATTAAAGGATTTGAGCGAATAACAAGAATCCTCTTAGAGTATTTAATGAGAGTTGAGCAATTTTCATTAGAAATGGGTTTTAATGACAATGTATGGTTTGATGATGATGGGTATACGCCATTATTCTATGCAACCTTGAACAACAATGTTGATGTAATTGATTGCATCATAGAAATTTGTCAAGTTAATGATGTGGACAATTCCACTAATGGTAAGTAAAAGCTTTTGAGATTGCTGTGGTTAGCGTTTAGCGAGATTTAAATTTATAATTGTATTCAGACCTTTATGAACTAATATGTGGTTGAATTTTATGTTCTAATTGGCAAATCATCTTATAGTTAGGGACACTTCTTTAGTGCCAAAATTAATGAATTCTTCAACATCTACCGCTACACAAACTCTACTTGCGATATCATGTAAATTTGGTCATTATTCGGTGGCTAAATCATTATTGAATCACCGTGCAAACCCCAATGTACAAGATGAAGATGGTGAAACACCTTTGCACCTGGCGTCCAGAGGTGGTTTTACCGATTGCTGTTTATTATTGATAAGAGAGCATGATGCTAATATGGAGATCAGGGAAAAATATAGTGGATGGACACCTTTATTTTTAGCAGGTAAATATGCTTGATTAACTAGTTTAATAAGTCAAATATTAATAAGCCAAATATACATTTTAAAAAGTGATTGAAGGTCATAAGGAAACAGTTGAAGCATTGATACAATCAGGAGCCATCCATAATATTGTCGATTATTCTGGTTGGACTCCACATATGCATGCATTGTTTCGTGGTCATCTTACTATGAAGAACATTTTACGTCCTCCTTCGGGTGAAATCAATATTTCTTCTCTTTCGACCAATCATGAGATAATGGTATCACCTCAAGAAAATGTATCTCGACAAGAAACCTCTGCCGAAATGACGTATCAAAACATGTATCTCAAAGATGATTCATTAATATTTATTACACTTGGAACAACAGATATTCGTAAAGATATTGTTCCTATTAAATTTAATGATGCAATAAGTTTTGCATCACCGGTTTCTATTGTTGTTTGGGCCATAAATGCTACTGGAGAGAAGGTTACCATTGACCTTCCTATAAAGGATAACATCGCAATTGACCCGATAATGTTTTATGCGCAAGAGCAGGATATAAATGATGTTACATTAATATTTGATATAATGCCAATTTATGGCCCTATGAGACAATTGATAGGTCGCGCAACTGCTGCATTATCATCGATAAAAACATATTCTGGACCGAATCATACTTCTCTTATTGGATCTGTCACAGTTCCTATATTAGGCTCATTAGGGTTAGGTGTTGATGTTGTTATTGGCAAAATTCAATTTGAATATTTAGTCGTTAAACCCTTCAGATTCAAAAATTTAGAGAACAGAAACAGGTGTATATGGGAGAAATCGTCAGGTACCAAAGTAATTGGTCATCGTGGAATGGGTGAAAATATTAATTTTAAGGAAAACTCAAGGTTACAGATGGGTGAGAATACGTTACAAGCTTTTGTAACAGCTGCGTCATTTGGGGCGGAATATGTTGAATTTGGTATATTCCTTTTTTTATTATTTATTTTTTAAAAATTTCTTGAAAGTTATTTAATAATATATGTATATTTTTTATTTAATAGATTGTCAAGTGACAAAAGATCTGGTACCAGTCATTTATCATGACTGGTATGTCACAGAAACTGGATTCGATATTCCGATACACTCAGTGACTTTAAAGCAATTCCTTCGACTAAAGGAAAAAGAAAATGAGGACAATTCAGTTGAAGAAGATTTTAACGAAGCTTATTCAAATGATGATTCAAGTAGTACACTTAGTTCAAATTCATCCGGAAATCTCAAACGATCCAATAGTATGAGTTCAATTAACAAGGCGAAATATAGAAAAATCGATGAAAATAATATTGGAAAGTTAAAAGGAAACGGTGCTGGTACAATTCAAGCACCTTTCACTACATTAGAAGAGACATTCAAAGTAATTTATAACAAACTTTTTTATTTTTGTGCACAAGTTGTATTCTAAACTTAACCATTTTATTTATTTTATTTTTTATTTGCCTAATTGAATTTCAAGGGAGTTCCCGTTAATATTGGATTTAACATTGAGGTAAAATACCCAATGGTTGTTGAGGCAGAAGAGTTTAATCTTCATCCATTTTATACAGAGTTAAATAGTTTTTGTGATGCAATTCTTAAATGCGTGTATGAGCATGCTCAACCAGAACGTAAAATAATGTTTTCATCATTTCATCCGGAAACTTGCCTAATGCTTTCATTTAAGCAACCAAATTGTTATCCTGTATTGTTCTTGTCCGATTGTGGTATTTACAATATGGCAGATGCAAGATGTAATTCCTTACAAGCAGCGATTAGGTTTGCTAAATTTGCTGGTTTGTCAGGGATTGTTGCTAATTGTGACCCTATTATTGAGGCTCCAGGATTGACTAAAATAGTTAAAAAATCCGGATTGTTACTTTTTACTTATGGTAGATTAAATAACGTTGTTGCTAACGCGCAACTACAAAAAAGAGCTGGCGTAGATGCTGTGATTGTGGTAATTTATTATTATTTAATTTTCAAAACAAAAAAAAAAAGGTATCATCAAATATTAATTCATATATGTATATTCTATAGGATTCTGTAAAACAAGTAAAACAAGGGCTTGAACAAATTGATAATGAGGATCAAATCGAAAACATTGTCAATTAGGTCATATAAAATTAATTTATTGGTTTATAACACGGCCGGTTCAATCTTTAAAATATATATGGAATTTAAAAAAAAAGAAAGCTGGCTGGCCGAGTCCATTAAAAGTCTCATAAAAACCAAGACATTAGATTCGTATTGCTTTAGAACAATTGATTCAAATTTTTTTCTTATTATTATTATTATTTTTGTTTTGAGCAAATTGTAGTCATTTCAGTTAGAAAATTCATTTTATCTCTGTATATTATCGTTTGTAAATGTTTAAAGATTGTACATTTGTTTCCTCTGAGGTTCAATACTTTTATGTAATTTTTTTTTTTTTACTTTTGAAAATGGACTATTGCGAATAGTTTGATTTTTGTTAAAATTATCAAACTACACATACTTTTTTTTACACAAAATTTGTTTAAACCAAATTTGAATAAACGTAGATTACAGTCTTAATAAACTCAAATCAAAATACATTATAAGTTATAAATAACCTCGATTTTTTAAATCAATAAATTATACTCTTTTAAATTTATTATAATTATAGTTCGTGTGGATATAATGTACGTGCGTACGTAAATACATACCTTCAAGCTAAATTAATAGACTATGTAAAAGGAAAGCAAAAAAATTCATTCTACAAACTTTTATAATTCGGATTAAAATTATATAACTGCTGGATTTTGGTAAATTAATATGTTTTACTTTTTCGAGTAGTCAAAAAACAGGATTTGCTTTTAGCCCTGTTACTTTAGTATAATAGGTTAAAATGAGCCTTAACAACACCATACCTATCATATCTTACAACAAACTGTCTTTGTGTTACAAGCACGCGAGTTACGTATTATCATTATACTAGACTTTGTTATGGTTTTTCATAATAGTTTAGATAATGTGACCATACAAGTACTGTAATTTAAAAGAACTATAGACTATTATTATGCATTTTTAATCAGGTCATAGTAATTTTAAATGGATCGCGCAAATACAAAACAGAATTTTGTAATCAAGGTGATGAATATGACGCGTAACCCATCCTATTATCTAATAATATAGATAGAAAAAGTTAATCTTGTATTAGTAAAATAGAATTTTAACTAATTATATTAAAAAAATTAAAAGATTTAAATAAAGCGTTTCTATCGATCGACCTCAAGAGAAATACTCTAACTATTCTTTTCAAAGATGGCGTTGATATCTCCTTTGTCATCTAGTTCCAGTGAATACCTAAAAGTTCACTCAAACTTTATTACTAAGATGGCATCTAGATATAATGTACAAGTACATTCTATTATTCGCGTAGAAGCTCCCAAACACATCAACCAAAATCATGAATCGTATAAAAAACAATATATGCATCTAAATTGTTCACAATATTTTCATGGAACCAAACACACTTGCGATATAAAAAATTTAAAGAATTCGGGCATTTGTTCAAATGCTGTCTGTTGTGTATGCAATATAATCCGTACAGGATTTCGATTAAACAATGGTGAATAGTAATTCATGTTTTTATGATTTTTGATTAAATATGAATTCCGATTAAATATTGACCTTTTTAAAAAACAATAGGCCGCGTTTGGTTTTCCCCCGACGCGTGGTATTCACACGGATATGCCGCTGCCGGAACAGGATCATCTAGGGCCATGTTTGTAATTGATGTCGTCGGGGCATCCAGTTCTTCGGGTAGCGAGTATACCGTTGCCAGTGCAGAGGTTTGTCAATGCCTATTACTATGTATATTTGTTTAAGCGAACTTGGATTATATAGAATATTCGATAAATTTAATATTTATATTTATGTTGCAGGCAATTATACCACGTTATCTTATCATTTATTCAGGCTAACTAAGAATAGATAATATACTATCATATACACATTTTTAGAATTTTGCTTTTAAACAATTTATATTAAATAATATCGATACCCAAGTTGCGATACAGTCAGACCTCTCTATGGTCACCTCTTCTATAGTCACATTTGCTTATAACTACATAAATGTTTAAAGCAAATTTATATAACACTTATAACATATAACCTATATATAAGCACTAACTCTCTATAAGAACAAATTCTTAAAATCAAGGGTGTGATTATAGAGAGGTTTGACTGTATTAATATCTCAATATTTCTTGAATCATAGATTAAATAAAAATATTTTGCTTATCTTTTCACTATATTTTTTCATGTTATACCTTATTTGAAATGTATACATTTAACTCTAAACAACTGACCAGTGATTCTTATTAAAAATTATTAAATTATAAAAAAAGTTTATTATAGTGAATTGGTTATAAAAAGCATTTTACATGTGATACAACAAACAATGATTATAAAATCAGCACACCCTAACGCTAATCTTATGGATCTACTCATGTTGGCGAAAAAGATTAAGTTCTATATTTCGGAAACTTTGTGACACTACTTTATAATCAATTGATTAATAAAATGTAATTATTGTGGAATGAAATCAGATTAAAATGAGATTATAAAATTTTGGGATGCAATTTTTTCAGCTTTTTATTAGTGTTAGGTCAGCTTTAGGGTAGAAATATATTAAACAAGTATAAGTGGATTTTAGGGAGTAATAGAAACTCCAAATTTCATTTAAAACTGATTTCATTATGATCTGCGGCAATGGACTATTATATGCTCTGAAAAAAATATCAACGAACATTGTCCATTGGGTCACTGGACATGGTCCATTATGATAGCTACTAAGCCACATTGTTGGTCCATTGGTTATAGGTGACTCGCCTATACTGCTATCACGGAACTTGCTATATCTATGAGTTACTGCAGTCTCGGATATTACCAAATATGGAAATTGATCTACTATTAGTAAAAGACTATTCTAGAACCGATTTATATAGTATTTTTGTT